CCCCCCCCCCCCCTCCCCCTCTTTTCCCCACTTCCCCTATCTCTCTTTTCTTTTCGCAGCTTCACTTTGCATTCCTGCCGACTATGTGTCGAAGATTTCCAGTATCAGATTGTTGCGAAATTTATCAGATATTTGTAAGTTAGTTCTGGTTATAAATAGATTTGATTTGCAGTAAGCCGGGTGAAGCAAAAGCGGCAGCCGACATTCCTTCAGCGGTCAAGGCAACGGATGAAAACATCGGTGATGGGCAGCCTGCTTTGGAGAAACGCATCAGTCGTTTAGAGCAGGCGATTGGCGGCACCGCTGGGCTTGACGCAGCTTCCAAAGTGCCATTGGCAGAAGCAGTTGAAGAGATGCAACTACGGCTGCAGCTGTTAAATCCGACTCACATTGACGGCCTCCACGCGCGCGCCACTAAATTACTTGCCAAAATGCAACAGGTACTTTTCAATTTAGTTCCGAATATGCGATACCACAGGTTTCTGATGATTAGATATTGCATTGTGGTTTGGGAGAGACAATGTTCGAGACGAGGTGACGGCGCTGGAAACACACCAAGGACATCCTGAAACGGCTAAAATGCTGCCAAAAGTCTTTGCCAAGGGAATTTTCCTGCAGGCCGAGCACCGGCTCATGCAACATTGATCAAAACAATTGAAAAGCTATCGGCTGCATAGTTGGAGATTGACATTATGAATTGAAGCTGATCACAGTGTTAAAGTAAAGCATTGTTTTTGCATAGGAAGTCGAAGGTTCGACTTTGCAGGTGGGACAATCAATCCTTCTACGATTCGTTCGCTTCATTTCAGTGATAATTAATAAAGACATGTGCTAGGGAGTCAAACCCGCCATCAGTTTCCTTGTATGCAGCCATCGAAAGAGGGAGCCATCATGTGGATGGTTGCTAGTGTTTCTTTCATTCGCTCGAAGCTGCTTCTCGACTGTTTCGACCTCTTACTAAGAACGAATGCGAAAGGGATTTTTGAGTTTTTTGATGCATCGAACCTACAAGTTGCTGAGTTATTTTATAGGTGGAGGATAAAAAGAACGAAAAAGAGGATTCGGAGTTCGAGGAAAAGGTTGAAAAGCTGTACGATATGATGAACAGATGGGATGCTGCTTGCATTGGATTACCGTCGGCAGTACGAAGGATGTATGATTTGAGAAAACTTCATGAACAAGGTATCTGACAATTAAGCGTTTTGTAGTTTCTAATTTCTTCTGTGCCTTAGAACGGTAGATGGATGCTAGTACGCATAGCTTGCTGCCAGTTACAGTTGTTGACGTACTGAAGGTTTAGAATTCGAATGTACATGTCCGTACCATTTTAGCAGCTGTCCACTTTCGTGTATTTTTTCCGACCAGAGCTAGTAATGAGCTTATTGATAGTTCACACATGCACTTTTCTGCTTTTTTCCCGCACTTTCAAAACGAATTACTAGATATATTGTATCGTTTAAATCAGCATACAGTGCTTTAGTACACAGGCTGTGATAGTTTCGCTGAGTTCATCAAAAGTTAAAAATTCATAGCTCCTCATCCGAATTCGTTATTTATGAGAGGTGAAGACATAAGGGGAAGCAGCCCGAGTGGTAGCAAATGCAAATTTCTTTTGAGTTACTTTTATTTAGAGGAACTGTAAAAATCAGTATTGTAAGTTTGCTAGGACATCTGCGTCTGATGTATAGAGAAATACTTAGAGTTCAAGGCGGCTGCGCCGTTTTCGAGAAAGAGATGTAAGTAGATGTTGTTGGAAATTCGATTATGCAGATTCAGATTGGGAACTCGATTATGCAGGTTCAGAAGGCTATACTGATGAATCCCACTCCTGTCTGCCATAGCTGTTTACGGATAAGGGATAAAACAGAGATTACTCCAGGATTTTTTCATCGGTGAAAGTTTTACTTAGATCCAGCGTCTCGATCGTCATCGATGTCTTTGCTATAGTGGTGACAGCAAAAACCGATGGCAGATAAATAACTAAGGCTGATCTGAGTTTCAGCGGAGCAGTTCAGCAAGAAACTAAGTCTACTAATGGGTATCCGCGAGCAACTTTCCAAAACAATGAAAAATAAAGAATTGGCCATGCTTGAATTCCGTGAACAGATACACGGCGCGTTGGAAAAGCTTACCTCCGATATGGAAAAATTGGAGGAGCGAATCAAAAAATTAGCTCCCTGAAGAAAAAACGATTTTCATCATTCTTTCTCTTCCTGTACATTATCTTGAAAACAGTGGTATATCCAAAAGCGCTTAAAGATTGTGAAAGCGTTTGGAAAGAAAAACTGCGAGAAAAGAATGAAGAGAAAGTGATGAGTTGTTTAATTTTGTTCTGATTTTGGTTAGTTAGGCTTCGATGAAAGAAGTAGGCAAAGAATTTTATGAGTTCCGGCCGATGGAGTTGAAAAGGTTAACGGAAAAATTAAAGCATAGCCAGAGAAAACTGGAATTTAAGAATATGAGTTTTAGTTGGTCAGGAGTCTCCTTTTTGTTCAAGCTTTTCTATTTTTTGTTGGTTTGTTTAAAAAAAAATCGGGAGTAATTATTTGTGAGAAAAATGTACAAAACGACTGATGGCAGGTTAGGTGACGAAAGTCAGACTTTGACCGAGGGTTGTGCCGATTTGCCTAAAAGATTTCTGAGCGCTTAAATCGTAGTAGTAACTTTATTTTTTCGTCCGGTTGCACTTTTATCATGTGAACTTTCCGCTCTGTCAGAATCTGAACATGCCACTGTTTGTAAAGCTTTTTTTGGAGAAGAGTACTTAGGATTTCTTTTTGATGCGCTATTCAGTGCTATTTCGTTATCAAATAATTTGTGTGGTGGTGACTAACAGTTGGAGGTATGCAACCCAGAATTGAGAATCCTGGCATAGTTGTGTTTGACGTGCGGGTGCGTTCTAGTAGCATCGCTAATTCGACACGGCCATAGCGGGTTGAGGGAAGTTCCTGGCATTTTGTGGAGAGCTAAAAATTGATGTCCTACTGAAAACACTGAGAAGCGGCGCGTGCTCTTCTATAACATGCTTTGCATTGCCCGGTTTTCTTTGGTTTCTTTTTTACTAATAATTTATTCTGCTTTTTCCGCATGTTTCTTATTTTTGTGTTTTCATTGTAAATGTTTGGCTGCAGCAGTAATCTTATTAGTTTGATAAAAACTCTTTGTTTCACTGCTCAAAACAAATCGGCTTTGTTAGTCATTGCGACAGGGTTAATGCATTTTCGCAATCACAAAGCAGCCTTGGAACAAAGAATGGTGCAAGTGAAGCATGGTGGATGTAAGACTACTAGTTCTTTACTGCTTTTACTAAGTGTGCTTCAGTTTGAAATTCAGCACTTCCTGTTTTTCGCTGGCTTAGCAAACTACTGAGGTCGCTCAATTGATTTTACCTCACCTCTGGTCTACTATCTCTCTGTGATTCAGCTGCAGTCCAAATTCTGTTTATGTAGTGGCCAATGGAAGAACATGTTCAACTTCGCCAGTGAAAGAACCAAACCCTCCGTGATTCCTTTATTCATTTCGATGATAAACCAATGTGCTGAAGAGTCAAACCCTGTCACCAGTTTGCTTGTAAGCAACTTTCGGAAGCAAAAGACAGCGGTAGTTTTGCGAGGAGGTGGTTGCTAATGGCACTCTGCTATCCTCTGGAAACTTCAAAGTACTTCTACTTCTCCTAAAGCGTGAATATGAAAAAATTCTCGACTTCTCCAACTTTATATAGGGCCATTCCGGCGGCCTTTTCTCGACACGAAGAGCAGATTTCTTCTTGCAGTGAGCAGAGTAGTGCAAGAAATAACATATTCAGGAACATATTTATTTGAGCAGCAGCAAAAAAAAACGGTCGCACAAATGACCATACATTGAATGTGTTAGTCCGAAATGTCTTTTCAGCTTCAAGCGATCGTTATTCACTTCGTAACTGTCAGTGGAATGATATAGTTCTGGTATGGAATTGCCTTCTTGAATAGCGGTGGAGCGTCTGTTTCTTCAGGCGTTGCCTGAATTTTTATGTCTTACGGTATAGATACTTTATTGTCTCAGCAAAGTAATCCGCTGTCGAGATAGTGGGAGGCATTTTATGCGTTTTTGTGTTACATTACGATGCAAAGGCGTGCTGAGGCAAAACACGTAGTATGTATGTGTATATTATGGGTGTCTGTATTTTTGCAAGTATGTGTATGCATTTGTATATTTGAACGACTTATGTAACATTGTTTTCTTTGTTTCAAAATCGCAATTCGCTGCAAACAAGGTGGACTTATTGCAACGTAGTTTCTCCCTCCAGTTTATTTTGAGAATACTCAGCTGGCGTTTTGGGACCCAAAGTCTCAGGCTTTTAAATGTCAGTAATGCATGCTCTGAACTTACTGGTGTATGCACGAGCACAAGTTTATCGTTCTTTGGAGTTCCAGATTGCCTCAGAACTTCGATTGCCTCTTCTGCCCCTTGTTCCAAGAACGAAAAGACTGGATTCACCCGATAAATTACATTATCCGAGCACTTGATCTGAATCGGATTGTGTGAAAGTATTTCTTAAAAATGTTTTCGGTAAAATTATCCGTACTGAAAGCATAATGAAAACATAAAACAGGAGAACGGTGAAACGGAGGATTGTGGCATAAGACACACCCCAGTTACCATCAAAGTCTTACCGGAAAATATACTAGACTAATATATGTATGCAAAATTCTGAACACAGATGCCAAACACATGTGTCAGTACCTGTTGCTTCTCATCGCATGAGTGGTGCCTATACAGTTATCAAAAGTTGTAAAAAATCTCCAGGATTTGAAGTATTTAAAAATGATCTGGTGGCAGTAGCATTTGAAGGCGAGATGATGATGCGTAACACATACAGTGGAATCTGCAGATAAGGAATTTCTATTAGAATTATCGCAGAGACAGTAATCCTTTCAGGATTTTAGAAGACGAGAGGATCATCAGTGTCAATGCAGCATGGGTCAAAACAATTAAGTCGGTTACGTGCCTGGTAAGCATACCAAACACGACCAGTAGCCTTTTCAAGGAATAGTTATTTGCAGAAATAAGCCCATACACAGTGCAGCAAATGTCATTCGGAAGAAACATCTTGAGAATCCTACTACCCTTCTCTTTATACGTAGACGGTTTGAGCCATGTACGGTACGGCTACTGTAGGGGGCGGGGCATAGCGAAAGAAAGATGCCAGGCAACCAATCACGGAACGAATTTATTTGCTCCAGCATGTTTGTGAGAGAGAGCAGGGTTTGTGATACTGTACGCAGTGGACATCAGGGTACTGTACAATACATTGCATACGTTTTTGCAAGATAAACTACAACTTTCAGGACGTACTGTAAACTGCATGGATTCGAAGGCGTGCTTGTGCGCTGTGTGTGATTGCAAAAATACTTGTGCTGCATGTTTTTGCTTTTCTGATGCGATTATTGGTGCTCTAAACACGTCTAATTTTTCCGACAGCATGATGGTTAGCGCCTTTTGATTTCTTCACGTTTATGTTTTTGTGTTACTGTTCCTTTATGCATGTGCTTTTTTTCTCTTTAAATTTTGCTTGCTTTTAGTTATTTGAAGACGAAAACTCCGACTCCTACATGCCGCAAGTTGCACAAAGGAGCTTTTAAATTTCCAAAGGCGACACTACGGACCGAAGCAGACATCACTACTTCCTGGAGCTAATATCGACAGAGGCGTTACGCCAACGAAAGATTAGGTAGCCATCGAAAGTTGCAATGGAAAACAAACCTTGATTGCTTGTCTTTCTCCGGTGTTGTTCCTCACAGTAAACTTCAGCGTTCCACCGGTTGGGGTGAATTGCAGCTCTTTGGGCTCGAAACTAACAACTTTTGCCTCTTCCTTCTTCTCATCCTCCTTCTTTTCACCCTCTTTCTCCTTTTCCTCTTCGCCCTCTTTTTTATCGCTTGCCTTCTCGCCGCTTTCCTTGCTTTCCGGTGCTTTGCTGCTTTCCTTCTCCTTCGATCCTTCCTAAAATGTTACTCTTAAAACTGAGCGTACCTGCAGACTATGATTATTCGATGAAAATTGTGATCATTCATCCTTTTTCAGATTTAGTGGCCATCCAAGTTTAGTACCTTGTTCAGTGTTCAGCAGTCGTGCCTTCTGGGATTTCATAGCTTTTCTCTTGCCCGTGCAGATTAACCTCCAATAACACTACTTCTCATTATCTGCTTATTTTGTACCGCATCTAAAACCCCGATTTATCCAGCCATAAGCCTGGGCCGCTCTCCACACAGTGACGTCCATCGATGCATTGCCTGCCCTGCACTGCAGCAATCCTCAAAATTTGTTCTCGCAAATTAGTGCGCCATGTCTTATCCAGACAACGGCAAGGGAGGTGAACAAACGATATCTTCCTTTTCACGATCAAAAAATATTAAGCGTTCTCACTATAAAAATAGTAGGCAAAAGGCAATACTAATGAGTCCTACTCTTAGCTGTCCGCTTTACTCAGGCGGTGTTTGCAGTTAAGGGATGAAACCGAGACTGTTTTTCCTTATGCGACTGTTTATTCTGGTGACTTATGGTTCCGTTATCTTCAGTTGCATCATTTTATAAACTAAACGGGCGGGGCAATTGAACAAAAAGCTGATGGGCAGTTGTTTCAGGATAACACCAGGCTTTACATGAGATAAATTTGAAAAGACTTACTGCTGAGGCTTTCTTCTCCGCTTCAGCAGCTACGACTTCGCCCTCCTTTTTCGGCGACTCCTTTTCCCCTTCCTTCTTTTCACCCTCTTCCTCCTTCTTTACCACTTCTTCCTTCTTCCCCTCCTCTTCTTTCTTTCCTTCCTCCCCTTCCTTCTTTCCTTCCTCCCCTTCCTTCTTCCCCTCTTCTTTTCCTTCCTCCTTCTTTCCTTCCTCCTTCTTTTCTTCCTCCTTCTTTCCTTCCTCCTTCTTTCCTTCCTCCTTCTTTCCTTCCTCTTCCTTCTTTTCTTCTTTCTTTTCTTCCTCCTTCTTTTCCTCTTCCTTCTTTTCTTTCTCTTCTTTTTTCGCCTCTTCTCCCACCTTTTCTTCTTTCTTTTTCTTCTTAACCTTCCCGCTTTTCTTCTTTTCTGATCCGCTTTCCTTCTCCTTCTTAGATTCCTTTTTATCCTTCTTAGATTCCTTCTTGTCCGACTCGCCCTCCTCTTTCGCTTCCTTCTTCTCGCCCTCTGCCTCCTTCTTTTCCTCTTCGCCCTTCTGAAATATAATCGAGAATTATTATGTGATAAATTGATGAGTTACGTTTCCTTTTTCATGACAGGGCAAAAACAGTGAGGGAAGGGTGGGGATCAAATGGCGGAATACGGTAACTGAAGTATCACTTAAATGAAGGATTGCAGGAGCTGGGAGTATGTTCCACGCTTATCGAGCCCAATATCCGGCGGTATTAAGACTAGGCTATCTTATGCTTGCACCTGAAAAAAATGTACGAGCTGAGGGTTAGCTATCCGCCCATGCCACCAGTCTCGTCACTTGGGAGTGATGAATTTCGAATGTTGACCTTGAGAAAATAGAGAAAAACCTGGATGAAACGCGAAACTTTTGGCACCTGGCCTTGTTCATTTCATTATAATTTCATCCATACCCCCTTTCCCTCCACTCGCCCACCCTGTCCTAAATATTTTCACCGTAAAATGTGACATAGCCAGCTGACTTTTCATCTATGGGCCTTATTTGAGGTCACTAACAGTTTCCCATTGCGTCCACTATCCTCCTTTCTTTACTTTTCTACAGGTGCACGACAGCATCAGTGACTGATCACACTGATTAAGGAAACAGTTGGCGGATTTGGATAGCGGCAGATGCCACTGTTCTCAGGCTGAACACTGAAACCAGTGATGCAGCCGATAATCCTTTCACTCATCCATTCATTCATTTGCTCAGTTCAATACTTCTATTCGTCTATTCAGCTGAGTTCATTTGTTTTGACGGTAAATTGGTACTGACATAAGCTAGGAAAGTCAAATCCGCCACCTAGTAATCCTCGCAAGAGAAAGGCTTTGCCAGTGGGTGGTTCCCGTTGACACTTGCTACCACTTCGACTGTTTCTGAGTGCCTTCGCCTCTTATGCGGAGAAGAACATGGAATTTTAACATTGGTATGGCTGTTAGGTTGTTGCTTTACTCTAGATTTGGCCGTTTCTCACCTTAAGCCAAATCAATTGTCAAGTAAGGCCCTACTATATCAAACCCCATAGACAAAAATAGGGCCTGTTATGGTGTCTGGAAATTAGCACAGGCCTTAACCGTCAATTATTTAAAAACGAAACTGTAGCAGTTGTTCACCTTTTTGTCTGATTCTTTTGCCTCTTCTTTCTCCCCTTCCTTGTCTTTTTCCTTAGCCTTGGCCTCTTTCTCTTCCTTTTCCTCCTTCTTCTCCTCTTTGCCTTCCTTCTCCTTCTCATCCTTGCCCTCCTTCTCCTTTTTCTCCTCCTTGTCCTCCTCCTTTTCCTTGTCTTCCTTCTCCTTCTTCTTCTTTTTCCCCTTCTCTTCCTCCTCCTTATCCTTCTTACTTTTTAAGTTTGGCTCGCCCGGTTCAGGTGATGCTGTACCTTTTTGTGATTTCTTTGATCCATGTCCACTTGCTTTTTCATCTGCTTTCGCATCTGCTTTTTCATCTGCTTTCGCTTCATCTTTAGCTTCGGCCTTCTCATCCTGAAATGAGCACACGTGAAGGATGTATTGCGCAAACTGACTAGCGGAAGAAATGAAATAAGTGTCTCTTCCAGGCTGTAATTGGGGATTTTCAAGGGGAGCTAACATTTATAGAAACAGGACACATCGCACGGTCGCAACTGTCTTTGACTGTATAGCTTACAGCCACGGCCTCATGTTCCCGAATGATTTGGGCAGCAGTAGTTTCTAACACTTAAATACCGATGCATTTAGCTGTAGCGTATTACCTTCTAGGTTGGTTGGAGCTAGTCCTGTCATATCTCGATGTCAGGCATTGAAATATTTGCATCAGAATTGGTTTTTTACGGAAAAAACGTTTGGTGAGCTCAGATCATATTTCGCACCTCAGAACGTATTTATCTATTGCAATCGAGAGTAAATGAAGGACCATTTTACTTGGATAATATTTTGTCTTCTAATCGGTAAATTCCCTTTCACAATGCCCAGCTCTCCACTTAGCCACTGCGCTGTCGGCAATGACGTATGGATGCATGACGTGGTCACTGACGGAATTTCAAAAGCGTCTTGGCATTCTTGGGTTATTTCACTGACAAGGGTTAATACTTTCCAACTGATTCGGATTTTTTCAAACATTTTTGCTCGAGTTTTTTTGCATATTCTGATAAAGACGAGATTAAATAAAATAATATTGCAAAAAAGAGGAGAAAAACTTTTTTCGGTTCGCTTGCCGGTGCTTGCTTCTCACTTTTCTTCAGCACTGGTTCTTCCTGAATATTATTAGAGTTTAATACGATTTCAATGGTGCAGTGGCACTGCATGGAAACAGATTCATCTTCTGCCTGCTTCTATGCAGCTCTCGAAAGAACGAGCCATCGACAGCTTTTCTGGCGGGATTTGCTGCTGGAACTTGCTATCACTCGGGTTACTTTCGAATGTCTCGGCTCCTTGGAAGTGGTTTTGATATGAGTAAAAAGGCATGGTGCTTGAAGTCTGTAGCGTTTTATTTTCCTACTGATAAGTGCACTGAGAATGCCAGTGGATTTATTTTCTCGTTGCTAATTGTGAAAATTTAATTTGTGTGAGAAGTGGTGAAGATTTTCTTGAAAAAAAATGCTAGGAGAATGTGCGCCGATGGAAAAACTTTTGCCCGTGGTTTATCAGGTTTTCCAAAAAAGAATGCCTCATCCAGTTATTTGGGCGCCTCACCAAATTTTTGGGTTTAAAGAAATGCTTCATTCAGACTTCTAGCTCCAAAAAGTTATTTCAGCAGTTTTTTAGCCCAAAAAATACCCAAGCCAAAATTGCTTTGGGCAGTTTTCTGCCCGAAAAAGACCTGAGCAACTTTTCTGGCCCAGTAATGTCTCGGTCAGTTTTCTGGTGTGAAAAAATGTCGCTACGGGTCACCTGGCTCGAAAAATTCCTCGGCTGACTTTTTGTCCCAAAAACTCCTTGGCTGATTTTTGGCCAAGAGATGTCTTAATGTGATATTTTCCTGAAGAATTGCTCTGGAATGGTACCTTCTTTTTCACTTTGCATAGTGGGATTAAATAGATGAAAATGATGAGCACTTTGAGTATACCAACAATAGCGAAAAACCACATTTCTGCGATGATAATTTATCGGCAAAATCAGAGGAAAATTTTGAAATGAATTCCTCGATAATTCGGGACAACCAAAATCACCGGAAATAACCGCTAGTTGTTCCTTGATTATCGACCCGTCGGAAGAAGCAAATGTAGCAACGGACCGTCAGTGTCCCCCGCAAAGTGTACAATAACAAACATGCGTCCATTCGTCTGCTTTTATATTACTCTGAAGAAAATTGGGTATTCATGTGCGTTTTTGCATTTTTGATGATTTTGCAAAAACGCATACTGTCAAGTGGATGTGTATCCGAGTTGTATCACCAGTGCTGAACTTAGCAATCAGGAAAGCTAGGAAGCTGAAATTTTTGGAGCATCTTCCCATCCCATCTCCAAAGCTAAAATCAACCTAGTTCATTCTCAAAATAACAATATAAAGTCAATTTTTCAGATCCTCGTTGACGTCGCTTGTAAAACTGTGTTTCTGATGAGAAAGCTGACTTGGCGGTAAATCAACCACGTGAGTAAACAGCGGGGCCGGAATATTTTCAACGGCAAAGGAACCACTTGTAGGGGAAATAACGACAAGTGCTTTTTGTGCTGCAACAACCATCGTGGCTCACACAACGCATCATTGCGTGGCTGTAGCTTTGTTCCCTAAGAACAGTATCAACTGAAAGTTGTTGGGCCGCGGGTGGATCCCGAGAGGTTTCATGTTGGGGGTGATGGGAGGAGGGGATTCCATGATTGTGACCCTCAAATTTTAGGGGATATAACAGTTTTCTCTGGATAAGCTCTAAGCCTTCATTGAGG